ATAAAATTTTTAATTGTAAAATAATGAACAATAGTTCTGAATTTTTTTTATTGATATTGATATAATATTTTCATATCTCAGTCAGGCAGGGGTGCCTGGTATCATCATAAACATATCATTTATGTTTATTTCATTCTACATTTATAAGATTTATATTTAAATATCTTTAAATATTTCTTCAATCTCTTTTGTCTTCAATTTGTTTTTAATATTTCTTTTTTTCTTTTTAAGTTACCCCACTGGACACCAAAAATAATAATTCTTGACATTATAATATTAATGTGTAAATGAACAATAAATTTCATATCGAAACACATTAATAAATTTCAATGACATTTACTTTTGTTCAAATTTTATTTCAAAAATCTGCGTTCCTATTGGCTCGAATCCGAAACAAATGAGAGCAAAATCTGTCATGTCCCATTTACACAGACCTGGTTCTCCATACAACTTTTTGCAATAGTTCAAAATTTCCATTAACAATACAAAATTAAAAGTAAAAATGTTTCAAACTAGAAGATTATTCCTACTTCTCCCTCAATTCCATCATAGAAGATCAATGCATGTTAGACCCCAAAACTTTTGGAGAACGAAAGAGGCTCAAGGTGCTTGTGAGAAGTGTGTCATCCATGAGGTAAATATATTTTTAACTTCACATTGAAATATTTACAATTTCTTTTTTTCAAAACCTCCTGAGTCTTCTAGCGTTATTTAAAATTGCAGAATATTAAGATATCTACATTTTAGAAAACCGTCCGAACCGACTTGAGTGAATTAATAAGTATTTGATACGTAATGACAGTGCTTATCGGAATTACGATGATAAATGTGATAAAATCGGACATTTTGAGACTAAAAATATAGGAATATAAAACAATAAAATATTTAATAGATATTTTTGATAATATATATGAACTTTTTAAAAATATTTGTCCAGTAAATTAAAATGTCTACTATTTATATGTTAAAGATTAAACTTTTATACGAAAATTTCTTGTCTATGAAGTAAAGCATAGAAATTTTTGGATATTGTTTATTAATTCTTTCTATTGAAATAACTAATTAAATAGAAAAAATATCGTTGCAGGCAGATGCGGATAAGGCTCCTTTCTACGAAGTCGTGCCTGTAACAAACGACCGAGCAACTGCGGTAGTAGCATATTTAAGAAACAACTATTTCCAAGATGATCCAATAGCTAGGGTAGTAGGTCTCTCAAAAATCAATGACACAATTGAAAAAGTTGTCTTGCAAAAAATCGAGGAAGGTGATGGGGTCCTGGCGGTTTCGTCGTGCCCGGATCGTCATATATTAGGGGTCGCTATAGGTAGCCCTTTCGGACCCATGGAAACTGATCTCACTTATCGTTTGGCCAAGGTTACTGAAGATAAGCACCTAAAGAATTACATGGAGTACCTGTCGCACATGAAATACTTGCACGATATTTCTACCAGCCTTGCCACCCAGAAGATTTGGGACGTCTGTGTATTGTCGACAGACCGAGGACCCCGAGGAATCGACGTTGGCAAAATGTTGGCCAAGAACATTCTCGTTCTGGGCAAGGATCATGGGTTCAGATTTGGCAGATTGGATTGCATTAACTCTTTAAGTACGACCATCGCCAAAAGTCTGCAGTTGAGATTGATGTGGTGGTTGGAATTTAAAGATTTTTCCAACTATTACCACGATGCTATGTATGGTGTCTTATGTCCACACAGTGGCCTTAGTGTCTTTATTACTGATCTTAAGTCTAAGAAGATCAAACGTTTCGAGAGAGAAATATTGAATTCGAAGGAAAGCAACAGTTAATGAAACTACGTCCAAAACAGAAGTAATTTTGTAAATCTTTTTTGTAAATCATGACAATTCTAATAAAGTTTTTCTAATGTAAATCAATAATTGAAATATTTATTCTGTTGTAATTACCAGGTAATAAACTAACTTTGTCAAATTATTAAAAATTTTACAGTAACTTGCACAACATGTAGGGTAGAGAGAAGCGTAAAAATCCCCGAATGATCTTTTTATACCACCATTATTTCAAAAGATAAAGTATGTTATTTTTTAACAATACTGTTTTAAAGTAGATAGTAATGTAAAAATAAAATAGTCGTGTGCGTAAATTATTAATATAGTAAAGAATTTATGATCACTAATACAAATTTAAAAAAAACAATTCTCAAATATGGCAAAAAATAGTAATATAGGGAGAGCTCAAAGTTCCACCACCAAATCAGAAAAACAAATAAATTTAGATTTTTTTAATAACATATTTGAAGGTGTAAGATGTATAACCAAACACCACCTTGATTCTAACGACGTCGCTATCAGAATGTTTAAAAATCCATAAAAAAAGTATTTTCTTTTGTTGTTAGTTTTTCTAGTTTGTGTTGTGAGCACTATTGTTCTATAGTCTATGAGACCTTAATAAAATTCTAAGTATGCGTTATTTAATTGATTCATAAGACGTATTGTTATTTTCAAGATAGATTCAACAGATTTTATTATATAACTTCTCTTTAATAACAATATTTGAAGTGTAAGATGTATAACCAAACACCACCTTGATTCTAACGACGTCGCTATCAGGAGATGTTTAAAAATCCATAAAAAAAGTATTTTCTTTTGTTGTTAGTTTTTCTAGTTGTGTTGTGAGAGCACTATTGTTCAGTCTATGAGACCTTAATAAAAATTCTAAGTATGCGTTATTTAATTGATTCATAAGACGTATTGTTATTTTCAAGATAGATTCAACAGATTTTATTATATAACTTCTCTAAAAGACTTGATCTGAGTGCGGTAAAATGAATCGACAAATCAAGGTTATATACAGTGATGTTGGTTAAACATGTTAAATGTGACTTATATTTTGCATTTTTTGAATAATTGGCGATTATTTCGTAATATATCTTAGAATTTGAAAATAAGACATTGAATCCGTTTGTCACTGGACTAGGATAGATAACAAATTTTAGAAGAACAGTAATAAAAATACATTTCTATAATTAGGAATTAACTGATAATCTTATTGAACATAGTTTGGTAGCTGTTTGTGTGACATATGTTATTTGTTGTGATGTAGTCGTTTGGTTTAGATAGTATAATAACTTAAAGTCAAATTGGACCTTCATGCCCCGTCCTTCTATCGGTTATTTAATTGTTTCGGACATACGGAGCTAAATGTGCAAAAAAATGGCAGTTTTTAAGAAAACTAAGCATCCGATTTCAAAAAACTTTCTGCTTGTGTTGATGGAACAATAGCTTTTGGGATTCTTTTTATTCCAAATTTAAGTTTTTATTTACAAAAAAAAAAAAGGTGTATATCAAAAATAATTCGAATTTTAGTTTTAATTTTGGCTTAAGTTTATAAGTCTACTTATACACTTTAGATAAATAATTTTAGCTTTGCAATTCAATTTATATAATTTTTATGAGTATTAGACAATGCCTTCATTTTAAATCCGATTAATTAAGTTTTGTTTATTTACTTTTCTGAAATACATTTATATAAACGTCATTGTCAAATTCATAAGCTCTTATATTTTGTCTATAAAATAAAAATAATGAAAGTTACGCTACGGTACGGAAATTTCCAGCAATTTACCTTAAGGCTATGCCATACACCACTAGTTGTGAATGTTTTTTTTTACGATAGATATCATGGTGTTTTAGAAATAACTAAAATATTACGGTCCTACAAGTCGATAAATTTTAAAATTCATCAACGTTTGAAAAAATATTCTGGTCAAAATTGTGCTAAAAGTCACTTTTATGATGTGATAAGTAAAAATTTGAAATTCACAAATTTATTAACCATTCGAATACCTTTAGGAGGGGCTGCGATTAGGTTTACGAGAAGATCGCCCAAGCCATATTTTTAACTTCCCGTAGGGCAAGTTATAGTAATCGAAATCGAAAATGAAAATTTTTATATATCTTTACGTTTCAAAGATTTCTGAATATTTTGGCATACCTTAGAGAAAATGGATGTATGTGTGTGTGTGTGTTTGTGCGTGTATGTATGTGTGTGCGGATACAAATTTTTGTCGACGATTTCGGGAACAGCGATCAACCTTTTTGAATTATTCAAAAAACATTCGATTCGTATTGATAAGGAAACGTGCTGATTAGTTTTTGGCAAAGGCAGGTCTAGCCGTTCCGAAGATACAGAGCAAAAAGTGCCAAAAATGGTAACTCAGTTTTTAAGAGAACGGAACGTTCGAATTTAATAATTCAAAAAACATTGTACTTGTATTGACAAGATGAAGAATTGATCAAATTTTCATAAAGGCAGGTCTAGCGGTTTCGGAGATCCAATGAAAAAAGTAAAAAAAAATGCCATTTGGCGGTCAAAAATGATCATAAGACATATGCATCAAATTATCATATTTTATAGAGATTTTAACAATAGATATAATTTTTTTTTTGTGTCTATGGGTTCCGTACCAATGCTTATCCGTTAGACGGCGGCGCGGCACTTAAGCGCTTTGACATTTCGTCTCTATGCAGTTCAAGCAGTACGATTGCTTTGAAAAAAAGTTCAGAATTTCCAAATATGTCAAAATGAAGAAAACATTTTTTTTTTCAAAAAAGGCACGATGCCATGCGCCCCACTAGTTTGGAAAAATAAATCCACAAAACTATTCTACGTGTAGTTGTGTAATAATATATTACAATTAATTTCAATGATAAAATAATATTAAGCTACTTAAGGAATACATGGTATATGTATAATTGAGCCAGTATTTTCTTATAGCAAATGCTCAATATTACACAGAATAATTTCTTAGATTTCGTTAAAAAAATGTTTCGACAAGGCGAAATGCCAGTTCCAAATATTTTATTTCGTATTTATAATAATTATTATATTTAATTACACATATCATATAGAGGTAGCAAAAATATATTTTAATTATATTGCTTATGCATAAAAAAAATCAGAGTATAATCATAAATATTTTTTGTAAAATAATTCGTTATCAAAATAAAAAATATAACTTAC